TGATTGATTGATTGATTGATTGTCAGAAATGGTGTAGGGTCTCCTGCTTGAGCAAGGGGTTGGACTAGAAGACCTCCAAGATCCCTTTCAACTCTTCTCCGATTGATTTAGCTACCTATATGCGCTCTTACCTGTCCGCTGTTTACGGCAGCGTGCTGAGCTGAGCAGGTATAAATCACCATAGTCAGGAATTTTTTGACTTCTTCCACAGTGCTGAATGAAGAAGGGATCCCTGGGAAGGAAAAGAGAAACACGCACCAATCATGAATAATAACAATCGTCTGTAAGGTATACTAGGTCAGCTAAAGCGGGTGAGATGTTTACCAAATGGTGCAACTACAAATGGTTGCAGGAACTGGGCCTGGCTAGTCTAGGGAAGAGAAGGACCAGGGGAGACAGGAGAGCATCTTCCAATATTTGAGGGGCTGCCACAAAGAGGAGGAAGGGGGTCAAGCTATTTTACAAGGCTCCCTGAAGCCAGAGAAGGAAGAATGGATGGAAACTGACCAAAGAGAGATTCAACCTGGAAATAAGGAGGAATTTCCTGACAGGGAGAACCATCAACCCATGGAACAGAAGTTGCATTTGGAAGTTGTGGCTTCATCATGGAAGCTTTCAAGAAGAGACTGGACTGCCATCTGTCAGAATTGGTGTCGGGTCTCCTGCTTGGGCAGGGGGTTGGACTAGATGACCTACAAGGTCCCTTCCAACTCTGATAATCTGTAAACCTGTAGTATCTAAGCAATCAACCCATGGAACAGACGTTGTCTTCGGAAGTTGTGGGAGCATATCTCTGGAGGCTTCCAAGAAGAGACTGGACTGCCCTCTGTCAGAAATGGTGTCGGGTCTCCTGCTTGGGCAGGGGGTTGGACTAGATGACCTACAAGGTCCCTCCCAACTCTCTTAATCTGTGAAGTTAAGGAACTAGGACAAAATTTGTCTGAATGTGTGTCTGCGCTTGGATTTTGACCACAGGGATGAAAAATGGCCACGTCGCTTTTCTAGTGCTGTTGCAACTTCCAACCGTCACTATATGAAACCGTTACAAGTTTCTTTCTTTTCCTCTTATCAGATGCCACGTTATTCCTCCCGCCACGGGAGAAAGACCTGTCCCAACCCATCCAATCCATTTCCAAGCTGAAAATAGCTATCCTGGCTGCCAGCTGATCAGCCCATAGCTATTCCGGAATTAAGAATTTCAGGAAATGCCACGCTGCTTTCGGAATAATGTCAGCGCAGCGGGCATCAGCCAGGATCTAAAGAAAAGGAGCCCACTCCTGATTCAATTTGAAGTCCAGGGGGGTGGGTGGGAGGTTGGGGAAGTCCAGGAAAAGGCGTGGGAGGCTGTTTTATTCTCTTTTGATATGCAGAAAAGAGCTGAGATTCGCCCCTCCCTGGTGGTAGCAAAACGGTGTCACAAATCAGGGTGGGAAGAGTGTGTATCTTCCACATCAAGGCTCAGCAATTGCTATCCTGGTTCCAGAAGAAGCCTCCTGGGTTTCGCTAGCCAGGCTGGGCTGCACTAACCGTGGTTCGGTTGCTGCCACCCAGAGTGTCCGTCGTAAATATGAGGCAGTTCAATTCAAGCGACTGAATCGGGGGTTTTGTGACCCTAGGGCCATGATGGCAAACTTTTCAGCACGGAAAAGGGGTCATTTTTCCGACTGTTTTTGGCTCGAAAAACAGTCCAAAAACAGCCTGAGAAGAACCCAACAAACAGGATGGTTTTGGGTCACTTTTCAAGCCATTTTCAGACCCATTTCGGGCCATTTTCAGGGCTCAAAAACCAGCTCAAAAACCAGCTGGAAAAACGCCCCCAAAACAGCCTGAAAACAGCCCAGAAAACAGCCTCTGTTTTGGGTGTTTCTTTGGCCGTTTTCAGGCCGTTTTCCTGGGGCTCCAGCGCCCGCAAAGACCAGTTGGCAACGGTGCCCGTGCCCACAGGGAGGACCACGCGTGCCATACTGCCCTGGGGGATGTTGCAACGACTGTACGAGAAACGGTGG